ATGCTCACTCTCAAAATATGGAAAATAACTCAAATCCTGATGATTCTTCAATAAATCTAATTGGATTTATATGTTGTATGGTCTTGTTAAAACTTGATCATTGACATTTCCCCTCCCCCCCAATCTATAAACTATCTGTGTTTGGAAACTCTCATATCATTTCTGCCTTTCTAAATTCCTTTTATTCTTCCCCTTCTTTTCAATCCACAACAAATTTATATACAAACAATTTTTCACACTAAAATTAATATATTAGTCAATAATCTTGTCTGGCTGAAGGCCTTGCCTCTCAGACTTTAATGACCGATATGTCCTCACTTCTTTTTTCTAGATTTAATTCATTTTGTCTCCTCTCTAATTGTAAATACGCTGCTGTATCACCTCATAAGCATAAATAAATAATCTTGTAAAATATTTTTACATATAAAATTACTACATGTATATATATATACATACAGTTAAACCTGTCATAGCGCCACCTCTAAATAGCGCCCGATTTTAAATACGTAGTACGATGCGATTTACATTAAAAGTGACCTGTCTATAGCATCCTATTTTGGTGAGTCCCAAGAGGGGGCGACAGGTTTAACTGTATATCATTTCTTTCTCTTCTAGTTTCTTTGTATTCGTATTACTGTCTGTTGAAGAATGCTATTGACTGAAAGCTCGCCCTTTTACTTTTTCGTTAAGAAATTTGTCGCCATCATCTTTTATCTCTTTTTAGAAATGATATCTGGTTATTCCCCCTATTGTAATTCTAAACTATGTGTTGAAGGAGGTTATTGTCTGAAAGCTCTCTAAGCTTATTATTAAGCTCTTCTAAAAAGAAAATCGTTGATTTTAGCGTTTGTCTTTTCTCAGCAATGCTATCTGGTTATTCCTCCTGTGGCGACCACACTTTACTTCAGCGAGTGCGAACTGGGACAAAGCTCCACTACACACATGGGCAGTGGATGGCCTCGGCAACTGCGAGCGCCAACCTGACTACGCATGCGCGAGCATTGGAGACACTCTGGCGACTCGGCGGTAAACAAGAAGGCTTGATCCAAACGGCCATTACTTCTTTTCTCTTTATATATTTCTGGCTTTAAATAAATTAATTTTAATTATAATTTTATCAGCGGCCTTTCCACAAGCTACACCAACACATCACGCAACCATCCCACACTCCTATTGGTATTCTAAACTATGTGTTGAAGGAGGTTATTGTCTGAAAGCTCTCTAAACTTATATCTCTTCTATAAAGAATACTCGTTGCTTTTAGCTTTTGTTTCTTCTCAGCAATGATATCTTGGCTATTCATACAGTTTGTTGGTTGTTCTCTAGACATACCTGACGGCCCAGATTATCAAGACTCATGAGAAGCTGTTGGACTTTATCATTGAGCGGCAGCTTGGCTTCAAGGGAGAGATTTCTCCAATGTTCTGGGCAATCATGTGGGACCCCCCTTTTGTCTGGAAATATGGGTGGTGCATAGTGGTCCAGGCAAGGCTTCCTGGGGATCTTGTACAATTTCCTGAGTGCCGCCTTCTTGTCCATCTTACTTAGATTGGTACACCATTGTTGTTTTGACCACCTTCTAGAGCACAAGGATATAGCTTGTAGGCATTTTTTTTTCTTTAGTGGAAGAGTGGTTAAAAACCATTGATTTTCCGACAGCAATGACCTAGCATCAAATCCTGCATTGAATACTCTTTTTTGAAGAAGAAGAAAAGCTGATTCAAATTGCACCCTGATTCTTGCAAAAGTCTATCCTCACTAGTGAGTCCAAGTAACAAAACAAGGTTTTCTACGGCTACGACCCAGGATCGAATTCAACATTGGGCACTTTCTTTATTAAAAAAAAATGATAAAGCACAATTTGGATTATTCGATTTTAATACAAGAAAAATAAGACCTAATCCAAATAATTGAATAGTGTGTGACGTTTCAGCAACAGCACTGTCACCATCATCAGACAAAAGAATTTGTAAAAAAAAAAATTATTTTTTATAATTGATATGGCACAATTTGGATTATAGATTATAAAACAAGGTAATAAGACAAAATCCAAATAAATAAATAGTGTGTTTATTTATTTGGATTTGATCTTATTACCATGTTTTATTTATTTTTATTTTTTTATTCTTTTGTCTGATGATGGTGAAAATGCTGTTGCTGAAACATTACACACTATTCAATTATTTGGATTAGGTCTTATTTTCTTGTATTATTATTTTTTTTAAATGCTCCAATGGCTCTGATTCTTGCAAAAGTACCCCCTCACCAGTGATTATTGCAAGTAAAATGTTCTGGCACATGTGTAAGTGCAAAAAATCAAACTGTTTTCAACATGTGGTGCACATGCAGTAAAAGCAGCCACCAATTACCCATCATGATTATCATTGGTTGCACTACATATACTATGGATAAAAAAAAAGCTATTTTCTTCCTTGTTTAGAGTTCTAAAGAAACCATATCCTTTTTGTATAGTAACAGTAATATAGATTCTGAAGATCATTTGTTTGATGTGTTGATTCAGAAAAAATATATAACCACATCTGTGGTGTGTAAATTTATTAGTCCAGTGATGTCCCAGAAAAGTATTTCAAAGTTAGTGTTTATTAGTATTACGCATTAGCTATAGGAAGACAAAAAGGACAACACCCTATAATGTCCAGTAGGGTCGGTGGAAGGATGGTCTAAACCATTGGTTTTCAACCTCTATGACCCGGGTTCGATTCCCGCATTGGGCACTTTTTTCTGATAAAAAAAAAAATGCTCCAATGGCCCCCGATTCTTGCAAAAGTCCAACTCCACTAGCAAGTGCAAATAACCAAACGGAGCTCTGGAACATTTGTAAGTGCAAAGTCGAACTGCTTTTCACATGTGTAGACATGTGATGTACTTACAGTAAAAGCAGTCGCCTACTCTTACCCACCATGATTATCATGGCCTGTACCACGTGTCTTCTTCTTTCTTATCTTCACTCAATCACACTAAGGTATCAAGCTTGTAAAGCTTGTTGATGGTGTCTGCCGGGAAAGAGTAGAGCTCATCAATATTGAGTCAATACAGTCAATAATATGTCTTGGGGTTGCAGGCTGAGAATTGCACGTGTACTAGGGATAAGCAAAAAAAAAAAAAAAGTCCATTGGCTTCTCATTTTCTTTCACCAATCTGCCGCACCACGCAGCGGAGGTCATATCCTATTTCATGGCCCCCGTTTACATGTTTGCCGACGGTGTGATCTGTCATTCCAGCAGGCTTGAAGTCTCTCGGCCCCCACACATCAAATAATACTTTATTTAACACATCGCAATAACACGCCATCTATACATATAAAATGAAAGGATTTAAAAGCACGAGTGTTTCTTTTATACATAATACAACCTTCTACTGCCCTTACTGCGATGAAAAAATATATTGGGAGGGCTTGGCTCATCAGTGGTGAACCCTCCCAACGGTTTCGCCAATTTAATCCACCAGACTGCTTCTCAGAGCTCTAATACTGTATTGGACGATTCTGCGCATACGCAGCACTGAAGGGTGGAATCTCAGAAATGGTTTTCAAGAAAACTATGGACATAAGCTTATAGGACAGTAGAATTACATTCAAAATAATTTATTTAACTCCTGACATGTCAGTGACCTGCTTTCACTCTCAGGGGAATTGATCAACAAGAAGAACTAGGATTCAAAATAATCATTGAAACATGGGGAGTTAAATCATTGGATGATGTAGTTATATTTTTTTCTAAAATAATTTACATGTAATTCTACTGTCTACAATACTTATATCCAGAGTTTGATTAAATACAATAAGCAGAATCACCCAATAATAGAGCTCTAAAAATGCAGTATGATAGATTGAACTGGCAAAACCGCTGGAAGAGGGCTTACCAATGATAATAGAAAATATGCTCTTTCTCTATTAAACAAATTTTATGTTTATCAAAATGTTGCTTTAAACGACAAAATATGTATAATTAGTCTGTTTGTTATTTAATTTGTTAAATTGGGAGAATGCAGCAACACTCGGACTTTTTTTAAACTAACTTTTACAGCTTTCCCATCCACCAATTCGACAATGTTACAAAAAAATCTTTGCTGATTTGCTTTTTCTTCTTTTGATTTAAGCATGTATTTTATAAGTCCTCTGAATATGTAAATATAACCTACAATTTATAAATTCAATTGACATCTATCAATAAAAAGAAACGCATTATCAAAAATTAATTATTACAGATAACCTACACTGTTTACTCATTGTCATTGATTTTGTTTATTTTTATGGTGATGTATATATTAAAGTAAAAATTATTATTTAATAAAATTTAAAGCTTATTTTAACGAATACCAAAACCTAATATATTTTTAATTTTATCAAAACATTTCCAAAAGTATGATGATAAATCTAAAATAAATACTCTGTGATTTTAAATTTATATTGGGGCGGCGGATACATATACTAAATCGACAGTTGGCGACTTTTGAATGCTCCAGAAATAATATATATTACTTATATTTCTTCAAACATATCAATTTTAAATCATCAGAATTAATAATCAGAATACATAACCTAAAGACTTGTTAACTCTACTCATATATATATATATATATATATATATATTTTTTTTTTTTTTTTACTTATCCTCCGTATGTAAATATTATCAACGAGAGAGAGAGGAATAATGAAAAGTTCAATCCCACTCTTCATATTTTCTAGTTCTTTATTTATTCTCTAAATTCATTTATCCTCCTTCCCGCCATAAAAAAAAAAAGTCAAATTTACTATTTTCACTGAAAAAAAAATGTGTGAAAAAATTCTATTTATACTTACTCTGTAACAAATTTGTAAAAATATGCAAAAGGTAATAATTAATATTAAGTATGAAATTTCCATTTTATTTATTAAGTATAATACTTTATTCGATAACTTGTATTAAAAATGAACTAAAAAAGGAGAAAAATAGATCAGCTATATCCCCATTAATCAATTATATTTATTTTTGAAGATTATTTGTTGTTTGGAAGTTGGTTTGGAAAATTATATTTATATGAGTAGAAATTGAAAGCGGCGGAGGGGGAATATCATTATGAATTTCGAATTTAAGTGATTTAAAAGGAGGATCAATCAATACTTTTAGTTTTATGTACATATTCTCCTGAGAGATACAGAAAAGGAGAAGTAAAAAGAGAGCGAAAGAAATTCTAATTTATAAAGTTATGAGAAATGTACGCATATATAGATCATTAAATTTAAAAACGTTTAAAAAAAAGAGAGAAACATTATAAAATCATCTGCGAAATTTAAAGCGTACTCTTTTATTTATTTATTTTTAATAAAATGCTATATAATTCTCAATATAAAAAATTACAATGACTGTATGTTCAATAATTGATGAAAAATCAGAAAAAAAAATTTACACTACATTCAGGAAAACCTGCAACAAAAAATACGACACACACACACAAAAAAACAGCGTCCTGAGCTCACCATGTTTAGCAAATCCTTCTTGCTACACTTCCTGGCCTCCTTTCTCAAAATAATCCCGCTTATTTGTCCCAGTGTTGCTGAACTCACCCCCCCCCTCCCCCAAGCTATCATCACCCTTCTCTGTACCCTTTTTGCTTTAAAGTCTATAGTTCAATGCTGACTCCACCACCAATGCTCTCTCCCTCCTGCTCACCCATATCAAACGAGCCGTCTCCCGCTTCCAATGCTGCCTCCTCATCAGCTTGGATATTAAATCCACTTTCGACCACCTCTGGCACCCTGCCCTATTCCCTATTCGGCCGACTCGAGGCTGCCTCTTGCCCCCCCCCCCCCCCCCACCCTACTTCATCTCTACCGCTCCTTCCTCTCCGACCGTTCCATTCACTTCTCTTACCGAGGATTCTCCCGCTCCACCTCCCTCTTGAGAGGCTGCGCCCAAGGCTCTGTCAGCGGGCCTCTCCTCTGGAACATCTTTTTTAATCCCCTTCTATCTCTTCCTTTCCCTCGTGGCGTTCACGTGCAAGCGTTCGCCGACGATATTCAAATCCTCGTGTCCGGTCCTTCGCTTCACCTTCCCTCCCTCGCTCAATCTGCTCTAGACCTCATTCACTCCTGGTGCCTCGATAATAAGCTCGCCCTTACCCCTCATAAATCTCTTGTACTTCCCATCTTTTGCAACCCGCCCCAACTCCTTATCAATGGCACACCTCTCTCCTGTCCCGGTACCCTTACTATCCTTGGGGTCACCTTCGACGACCGCCTAAGCTTCACACCTCTCCTCCACAAAGTATGTGAGAAAGCCTCCTCTCTCCTAGGCAGGGTCCGTCAATGCTCAAATGCAACTTCCGGGTTCGGATTTTTTGCCAGGAGACGCTTCTACCTCGGAGTGGTCGGAGCCGCCCCCATCTGGAGCGAGGCGGTTAAACTCTGCGTTGAGGAAATCAAGTCTCCGCTCCATCCAGAGGAAATTTTGCGTCAACGTCATCCGCGGTTTCCGCACCACCCGCCACTCTGGCTGCCTTCGCCCTCCTCCGCGTCCTCCCACTGGACCTCAAGGTCCTCCTCCTCTCTTCCCTCCTCCGCCCCCCCCCCCCCCCGACCCTCTTCCCTTCACCCCTGAATCCCCTCCCCCTCCTTTTCTCCACCCTTCTCCCCCTCTCCTTCCAGACCTCTCCTTCTCTCTGCTCCCTCCACCTACTCCCGACTTCGACTACTACACCGACGGCTCAAAAACGCGCAGCGATGTAGGCGCCGGCATTGTCAGGATTCCTTCCCCAGCCCTCCCATCTACACACTCCACCCGCGAATTCTCCATCCCCCTGGCTTCCCACTGCTCCGTCTTTCAGGCCGAATGCTACGCCTTCCTGACTGCTCTCACGGACTTCCAAAACCTTCCCTCCTGCTATTCCGCCGCAATCTCTTCCGACTGTCTCTCCCTCCTCACGGCCCTTTCCTTTCACACTCCCCTCACCCTCTCATCGCAGAGTGTCAAACTCTACTCTATTCCCTCCTCCCCTCCCGCGCACTCACCCTCCACTGGGTCAAAGGGCACTCCGGCAATAACATCGCCGTCACGTTGGCCAAGGAGGCCACACTCGCCCCTTCCCCCACAATACACCTGCGCCTCCAAAACCACCCACCACAAGTACCTTTCCAACCACATCAGGTCCCTTTGGGAGGACGAGTATATCTCGGCCAGGCCCAGCTTGTTCCTCAAACTGGGTCTGACACCCCGATCCCTTCTCTCCACTCATCGCTTCCTCCTCCCAAACACTGCCATCGCCACCAGCCTTCTAACCGGACACGCTTTTATCGCCGCATTCACCCACAAGAGTGCACCCTCCCCTATCAACACCACTTGCCTCCACTGCAACACAGCCCCTGAAACCCTGGACCATATCTTCTTCGACTGCCCTGGACTAGATTCTCTCCGCGCCTCATTCTTCCGCAAAAGCCTGTCCGAACTGGGACACATTCCAACTTCCCTCTCCCAGCTATTCTCCTCAGACAAGGCCTGGGCCCTAACCCTTACCTTCGCTACACACTCTGGTAGATTCGTCGCCTCCAACATCCCCCGATCAAACCCCGATACCAGCACTGCGCTATTACACTCCTCCTCCTACCCCACATTCACCCACTGACCCCACATCTTCCAACCATCACCCACCAACCAAAACCCACCCTGCACAACCAGATAGACATCCTCCACCTCACTGTTTGTTTCTTCCTCGACCTATATTATTCAATTTCCCTGCCCTACAACTGTACATAGCTGCTACCCACCTTTTCTATACCTCTTATGTATATATAATCTTCATCTGTATACCCCTTCCTAGCTACTTCTTTCCCTCTAATACTCCCTCCTTGACTCCAATGTAATTTATCTCCCCCTTGCCTCTTCCCCTGGATTTTACCTATATGTTAACTTCCTTAGTTGCTCCCACTATATACCTCCTCCTTGTAACTTGTATTGTGTGTATCAGAAATAATTTTTAAAAAAAGGAGATTTATGGGATGAATTTGCTCCTTCTCGGTCTTCTTGGGCATAGGGACGCCCTGGACGGTCTCATCCCAGCCCTTCTCCTGGCCCACCGGACCAAGAACTGACCTCCACCTCCATAGAAGACCCCACCTGCCAGGCCTATATGGATCCTGACTCTGCATCGGCACTTTTTTGATGCCCACCATTGTCACGCTTTAGGCATCTTCTCCCCCGGGGCGCTCACTCGCCCTGCCTGCGCCTCTCCAACCCCAATTCGTGACCTGTCATTTGCAGGGACCGGAATCTTGTCCCACAATAATTTGTTGGCCTTAGAATGCTTCCACACATAGCATGTAGAAGATGGAATAATTGTCTTGAGTTCAATGCTGACTTTTAATTCAACTGAAAATTTTTATTCTTTGTGTTTAAGAATTAAAGAAGTTGGATCTATTAAAATTTAATGAGTGAATGCAATGTTAAATATTCGTTAATTCTAGAGAGGAAAATAGAAAATCAGCCCTTTTAAGTCGCGATTTTTGTTTCTTCGTGGATCATTTAAGCGCAGTTGCCTTTGGTCATAATGATTAACTAGAATGTACGTGGGGGGGTCGGTGGAAGGGTGGTCTAAACCTTTGGTTTTTGACCACTATGACCAGGGATCGAATCCCGAATTGGGCTTTTTTTTTTTTCTAATTAAAAAATATTCTCTAGTGGCCCCCTATTCTTGCAAAAGTCAAACCCCACCAGCGAGTGCAAGTAATTTAACGGGCTATGGCACATTTGTAAGTGCCAAGTTGAACTGCTTTTCACAGGAGTAGACATGTGGTGCGCTTACAGTAAAAGCAGTCGCCTACTTCTACCCACCATGATTATCATGGCCTGTACCACGTGTACTAGGGATAATTTCAAAAATAACTAGAATGTACACTAAATGAGGTTCTAGCCCAAAAGCATACACAAACAACCATAAAAGATTTATTTAAAAGGTAATAAGACCAAATCCAAATAATTAATGTGTGACATTTCGGTAACAGCTTTGTTACCATCATCAGACAAAAGTATTGAATCTGTACTGAAATTATTTGTTTTGTACTTTTTCAATAAAAAGGAATTATCATTTTATAAAGATGGTTTCAAAATTATTCATCATTTTTTCCCCTAAGAATATTTGCCCAAAAAAAAATAATATCAATTCTTCCTCTAGTGTTATTAAGGTAACAACTTTGTGTTCCAAGTCTTAATGACAAAGGCAGAAGCATTCTACTTCACCCAGTCATGATGGTTGTCAAGTCTCAAGCTCTACAAGCTTGATACCCTAATATGATTGAGTGGAGATAAGAAGAAGACTTTGTGTTTTACTGAAATTCTATATAGTCAGATACCCAAATTGTATGTATGATAATTGAATAAAATAATTGCACAACAATGATTAAAATATTTATTTTTTAAAACAGATTTAGAATAAAATATATTTTAATAAAACATAACAATATACATATGTTAAGTTTATTTGTGAAATAATTAAATATAGTATATACATATATATATAGCAAAAAATAAAGAATTCTTTCTTATATATAAAAAATAATTGATATGCATTTTTTGTGTGAATATGTGTGTGGATTCTTCAAGTCTGTTGGCAGGATATTCTTCCATTTTAACAATCACATATGTAAATGGGGACTGGAATTTTACATATGTAAATGGGGAGTGGAATTTTACCTATGTAAATGGGGACTGGAATTTTACATATGTAAATGGAGCCTGGAATATTACATATGTAAATGGGGAATGGAATTTTACATATGTAAATGGGGAATGGAATTTTACATATGTAAATGGGGACTGGAATTTTACCTATATAAATGGGGCCTGGAATTTTACATATGTAAATAGAGACTGGAATTTTACCTATGTAAATGGGAACTGGAAAAGTTTCATTATAAATGAAAGTAGGACAAAGAATGATAAAGATAACTGGATAAGATAGAAAACCTGATGAGTTGCATCCAAACAAAAGCTGAAATCATATGATTCAATGATAATCTATTACAGTAGAACCTCTCTCTAAAGGACATCAATTTGCATAGCTAAACTGTTCTTTAGTTAGACATGTCCTCTTATTGGAATGTAGCTAATTGGAAACAATAGGTTATTTTGATTATGAAAACTGTTAATAATGTACAATTTGAATTATAGATTAGAAACACAAGGTAATAAGACTTAAATTCAAATAGATAAATAGTAAGTGACATTTGGGTAAAAGAGTTATTACCATCAGACAAAAGTACTGAATTAGAAAAATACCACAGTATGTTTTTAAATAGTTGTTACTGTTATCAGTTGTGTAAAACATGTGTTTACAAACACAAAATATTTTTCTTATTCAGTTCTTTGTCTGATGAAATGGTAACAAAGTTGTTATCAAAATGTCATACAGTATTTATTTATTTGGTTTTATTAACTTATGTTTCTATTGTGTAGAGGTGTCTGCTAGTGGGAGTGTCCAAATCCAAATAAATAAATAGTGTGTAACATTTGTAACTATTTATTTATTTGAATTTAGTCTTATTTTTACCTTGAGTATTTAATCTACAATTCTAATTGTACTTTACTATCAGACTATGGAAAATTTTATTGAGAAAGATTGGGAAGAAATAAATATAAAAATACTTTGATATACAGTATAACCTCCATGAGAGGTCACTCCGACTAGAGTACACCTCTCTATAAAGGACAATTTTCATTTTAAAAATTACCATTTTAACTATGTAACAACTTTCCGGTAAGAGAACACCTCTCCCTAAAGGAAACTTTTGCTCTGTAATTAGGTGTTGTCTTTTACAGGGAGCTTCTACTGTATATTGATGATAATTCAACATATAATAAGGCACAATTTGGATTATAGATTATAAACACAAGGTAATAAGACCAAATCCAAATAAATAGTGTATGACGTTTCGGTAACAGCATTGTTATCATCTTCAGACAAAAGTACTGAATGAGAAATTTTACCACAGCATGTTTTAAATAGTTACTGTGATCAAGTGTGTAAAGAAAACTATCTTCTTCTTATCTGCTATCTTGTTTACACACTTGATAACAGTAACTATTTAAAACATGCTGTGGTGAAATTTCTCATTCAGTACTTTTGTCTGAAGATGGTAACAATGCTGTTACCGTAACGTCACATACTATTTATTTATTTGGATTTAGTCTTATATATATATATTACCTTGAATTCAACATATATTTTATTGACAAAAGTAGTGAAAAAGAAGGTCTAATATATTATCTTTTCACAAATTCTAGAGAATAACACAGTAAAAAGGTATAAAACACAGATCCAACTTGAGGAAAAAGTTTGATGTTATTCCTCCACTTTGTGTAAATATGTACATATGTTTACTTTTATTTACCCATAAAGGAGAATCCTGTATGGGACGAGTGTCCTATATTTTCATAAAACAACCATATCAATATACATATATTAAGTTTATTTTTGAAAGGATTAAATATAGTACATACAGTATTATTGTCACGTTTGTGAATTTTATAATTAATTATTTCTTTTCTTTTTTCAATGAATTTTGTATATTAATTTAAAATGTCATTTTTTTGTTATCATCATCATCACATACAATGTAATTTTTGGATAAACAAACTATAATAAATAACAACAACAATGTATTTCCATTTTCATTATTATAAAACAACAACAAATTAAATTAACAATGTAAAAATATATTTTAACATTATAACATTTGACACAAAAATGTTACAATATGTATATTAAAAATAAAAAAGGCATAATCCTGACCAGGAGCACATATACTTTTCAGAAGGCGGAGCGCCATCTGGTGTTGATGTTTTAAAAAGAGAGCAATTCATAAATAGATATTTAATTAAAAAGGCATATATTAGATCAAAATATAATTTATTTTACCAATATTTCAGTTGGATGAATGCCAACTTTTTTCAAGCTATTACAACATATTAACATCAACAACAAATTCAGCGACACATAATGTCAATAGAATCTATTCATCAATGAAATTAGATAGAATATATTGATATGTTTTTATATTTTGTTTTAACGTTAAGGAAATCATTACAATATATAAAGAGTTTTTTAAACTCTGCCTTTGCTGGTCCCAAGCCCGGATAAAAAAAGGTAGAGGGGGAACAATAACAAGCTTGCTAAAAAACATTGGGTTCAGCTGGTCCGGCTGATAATATCCTGTAAAGTTGGTGTTTGATTATAGTGGTTAAAGTAAATTATAAGGCACAATTTGGATTATAGATTATAAATACAAGGTAATAAGACCAAATCCAAATAAATAAATAGTGTATGATGTTTCAGTAACAGCATTGTTACCATCTTCAGACAAAAGTACTGAATGAGAAATTTTATTTAAAATCTATTTAAAATATGCTGTGGTAAAATTTCTCATTCAGTACTTTTGTCTGAAGATTGTAACAACGCTGTTACCGAAACGTCACACACTATTTATTTATATTTGGTCTTATTATCTTGTGGTTAAAGTAAAATAAAAACAGGTGCTTGTATATTGGGATTGAGAAAAAATGGCTGAATTTGATTGAATTAAAGAGGTTACACAATGTAATATATACACATTTTGCTCTCCATTTTTGAAAAAAAAAAAATATATATGTCATAATATATGCTCTTCCAGGAATAATAAAGTAAACCTACAGTCAACAAGAGAGAGACGTCGATAGAAAGCTAAGTTACGGCCATTTTAAACGACTGACCACATGCCGGAGGGGGCTTTGTTGGGAACCCTGCCGGACTATTTTTAGATAGTCGGGGGGAGGGGTGGTGGCCACACAAGATGGCGTTACGCGGTGACAGCCCCACGCGCTACCTCTCTCTCTCGGTTTGCTGGGTCCCATCTTCCAAACTTGTTGTTTCCTTATTTCTCTCTCCCCACATTATTATCATAATGCCACATATATATATGGTAATAAAAGGTGGGGAGAGAAATAAGGACATCACAAGTTGGAAGAGGGACATAGACAACCAGAGAGAGACGGGACTGGCACTGCCAGGCGGCCGTTCGTGTCGCACACAATCCCCAACTGTCTTAAAAGTCCCGAGGTTCCAAGTAACGGGCCCCAGTAGTCGCCCCTTAGAATGTCGCTGAGGTCTAAAGTGACCAGCTTTTACCCTCCCGTCTCTCTCTGGGTTGTTTGTAAGTTGGATTTATTATTCCTGAAAGAGTATATATTATGACATATGTATAAAATATTGATTACAATAAAACACAATCTACGAAGATAAGTTTCTTATTTTATTAAAGATTCTCTCAAGCTTTTGAGTACTGTGAACCCATCTTCAGGTACATACAAAATAAATTTGTTTTGTATTTTATTCATATAATTCTGTAGAAGGGTTCACAGTATATACTCAAATTCTTGCGACAAAATCTTAATAAAATATGAAATTTTATCTTTAGAGGCTGCGTTTTATTGTAATTTAAATTTCAGAGACTTCTTCCGATATAAAATATTGAATATTTACATACGTTTGAATCAAAAACATTGAAAGTTTTTTTCTATATGTGACAAGCACTAATAAAATTATCAAATCACAAAAAAAAAAGGGGAATTAAAAGATTTTTAAGGAGTAATATGTCCTATTATAATAACTAAAATCATATTAATAATTACTGTAAAAGCTCCCAAACTTGTGTATGCATGCAAATATCCAAGACGGATATCGCGTGCTTTGTAAATGATAATAAATTTTAAAAAATGTTGCCTTATTTTAAAAATATGATTTTTTAAATAAGTATGGAATCTTTTCTTTATTTTAATATTTGAATTAAAGATAAAACAAAAAAAATGTGTGTGTGTATATATTATTTATTCTTAAAAGATTTTTTTAAATGATAAAACACAATTTAAATTATAGCTACAAGAAAATAAAACCTAATCCAAATAAATTACTAGTGTATGACATTTCGTTAACACATCAATCAAGCAAAAACCGTCCTAAATGTAAATAACATCGAATTCCTAGGATATCTAATCACCCCAGAAGGAACAAAGCCATTATAGTCGAAGGTGAAAGCCATTATGGAATACAAGAAACCTGAAACAATTCAAGATCTCCGCAAATTTTTAGGAATGATAAACTTTTATCGCCGATTCTTGAGGAATGCTGCGGAAGACCAAGCTATCCTGAATGATTTCTTGAAGGGTTCGAAGAAAAATGACAAGCATCCTATTCCTTGGATGGAAGTAGCTGAACAGAAATTCGAAAAATGCAAATCTGAACTATCAAAAGCAGCACTGTTGACATTCTCCGACCCTGATTGTCAGTTGACCTTATGCATGGATTCCTCAAATACGGCAATGGGAGCAGTTTTACAGAAGTTAGAAGATAGAGCTAGAGAGTAGATAGATTAACAATACTGTTAACAAAATGTCACACACTAATAATTTATTTGGATTAGGTTTTATTTTCTTGTAGCTATAATCTAAATTGTGCTTTATCATTATCATTTATTTTGATGATATTATCATTATACACAAGAGTTTTACATTGTTATTTTGTGGGATCAATTTCAGGTTGTCTTAGTATTAGAAATACTGAATAGAGTTCAGAATTATATCTATAAATCAATTCTCTGTATATATCCTGATTGACATTAAACCAACCAAAACCTTTGATAGCTTTATTAGGGAATATAGAATGTTTGCTTAACCAACCTTTTTTGACATCTGTGAATACCACATTTCCATTTAAATCAACAAGGCAAAACATAACTATGTCCCAACCTTCTTCAGGTAACGGCTTGCCTTTGGAAGATATAAGCAAATGAAGACATCTACCTCCATTAGGTGTGCTTCGTTGATCAAACCCTACTTTACATGATATATTGTTAATTCTACGCCTCTTCTTAAATACAGTGGCACATGTTAGGGAGCCATCTAATCTAGTATTTGTTGGTATGATAGTAATGTGGTGATAATACTTTTCAGTTGGATGGTAGAATCTTGTGGTTAGTAGGGTATACATGTCTGTTAGCTGAGGTTTTGGGTTGGTATTGTTTAACTTCCATTGGAATATGGTGGTGGATAGTGGCGGAGGATATGTAGAGATGGTTGATTGGACGGTCTTATCCATTGATTCCATTGGCTTGGTAACGGATTGACAGCTTTCTGGATTGGATACAGACTTTACTAGCTGATTTTCTTTGGATTCCAAAGTTTCTATTGGTGAAGGAATTTGGATGTTTGAATTTTGTATGGAATGTAGCATTGATTCTGTTGGCTTAACTACGGATTTACAGCTTTCTGGATTGGATACAGACTTTACTAGCTGATTTTCTTTGGATTCCAAAGTTCCTATAGGTGAGGAAATTTGGACGTTTGAATT